GCAAATCCAAATGCAGCACCTTTCTTAGATGTCCAAACTGCATTATGATTAGCTAATCGCATAAAATAATAAACCAATTCTGGTTTTTGTAACTCAGTTGCAAGAGAGCATATTTCTCTATATGTTGATATATTACCACTGAAAACATAAATAGTTATTATTCATAGAAAATGTAAAAATATTTTATTAAAATAACATTGCTAACACACAATTTGTCATTAATAAATAAACTTGTCTTACCCACTAGGACTTTTTCCTAACTGGCCCTCTTCAAATAGTTTTGTATCACTTGTAACTTGTTGTACAGTTCTGCGACCTTGCATAAACTGCTCTAATATAGACGATACTAAAGAATTACGTTCTTCTTGTGTGCTATTAGCATGTACTAGACTAAGTCCTTTTGCTGCTAAATCCTGTATTATATCTATTCATAAACGTAAATATATTACGTTATTTAAGTTTTCAATATATACCGTTTGTTCGTAGTTATTAAAAAAATATATATTTACCACTGTCCTCTGAAAGAAATTCTATAAAAGCATGATGAATTGCTGATAATTTTGTTTTGATACAATCTCGTTGAACATTATGTTTTAATAGTGCTAACAACCATATGCATGTTGCCTATAAAAAAAAAATTTTAACTCAGTATGGCAAATCAAACAGAAAAAAAATAAAATACTATATCAAAATTATGCTTCATACCTGTCTGGAATTAGGATGTGGTATCTTGTACATTTTTAATAATTCATCTAGTACATATATTAAAAGTTCAATACTCTTGTTGCTAAATGAAATCTTATATTCACTAGGAAGAGTTGTCCATGCATCTCGTCCTTCTGGAGATGCCTGTCCCTGAACACAACATACTAGAGCTTCGCCCATAATTAAATGAATTTCTATATCCTTAGTCTATAAATTAAAATATTATTATATAATATAAATAATATACTTAAATGCAATATTATAAGCAGTAAAAAATTACTCACTTCTTTCGCCATTGTAATTATTTTGTCTATTATATATGTAGTGTGTGGAAAATCTTCTGCAACGCATATGTATCCTAAAGAAATCACTGCCTTTTCCTTCACCTAAAAAAGAATTTTTTTGAAATCTGACAAAACAACGAAAATCCGTATCCTCACAAAATAATAAAACAAACCTTAGTCTTAATTTTTACATCAGTTACTATAGAAAACAGTGTTTCTGTAACTGCTTTTTTATTTAATTCATCATTTCCTTCTGCAGGTAATGGTAAAGGAAATGTTTTTCCTACAATACCAATAGCTTCAACTGCAGCATCCATAAGTAATGTTGTACTTTCATGAAGAAATGTACCTAAAAATATAAATATAATTTATTAAAATAGTTTTTTGATACAATTTATTTATCGTATATACGAACGTACATATAATTTTAACAACATGAATATACATCTCCCAATTGAGCAGATCGTCTCTATTTTCATTTCGTTTAATTATCAAATTCCTCTCCATCATGAAAGTTAAAGCCAATAATGAACCATGCTGTGATTCTACATGTTTTTTCTTTATCATATCTATAATCTCCGAAATGTGTTTTTCGAAATCAACAGATGAAAAATTAGAAGTTATAACACCATAGACTTTAGCAACCAAATATCTTACATCCGGTTTTGTAGATGTAAGTAAGGTACGGAGCCATGGTAATTCTTTTTCATAAATTTCCCTCATATAATTTGGAATACAACCAACAACTTCTAATAATGCTTGCAAAGAAGTTGAATCTGCAAAAACACCGATAAAATCACATTCCAAATATCTATTTTTCTAAAGTATAATTCTCTCAAATATTATTCTTGAAAATAATACCTGCAGCAGCATGAGTGAGCAGTAAAATCATATCAAGATAATAATTTAGTGCTCCTGGTTGAGTTTCATACAAATTTTGTAAATAACGTCCAATCATTGGAGTGTATTCACATGGATGTTGTAGTGGCTCATTATATGTAGGTATATTAGCACTTTTTGCGAGACAAACGCGTAGATAATTAATTATCTGTAAAAAAATACATATATGTAAAAGTAATATATTTTTCTATCATATAATTATTCAAATCTGAAAAAGTATACCTCTGAAAAAGTTGCAATATTAAATGGAAGCGTTTTACTTCCTATATTTATTTTTCCACCACTTGGCATAGACATTCTTATTTGCATCTTTGAATGTATATAAGCTACAAGATCTGAGAAATCTGGTAGAACTGTTTGTTTGACATCCTGTTTATCATGACTATCACCGTCAGTTTTATTTACACCGCTATATAGAGCTTTTACAGCTTCTGTACTTATTTCATGTTTGTTATCACCACATGATAAAAGTAGTAGATATCGTGATGGAGCATCATCAGGAGGAAATACTGTCGCGGCATAATGCATAGCCACAAACCTATATTTAAATAATAATAAATTATTTATGTATAATAATATTTATATCAATAGATGTGTATATACATACCTTACACTTGATTCTGGTGATTCTATATGAGATGACAATAAAGCATTCATCAAAGCTATGTTACTTTTATCTTCTCTATTGAGAATAAATGCAGATGTTACAGATATTAACGCATCTCGCACAGTTCTTCGTAAATCTCCGTCAGTCTTAAATTTGAAAAAAAAATATTATAATAAACAAATTTTATTAAATGTATAACTGGAAAAATATTTGAAAATTTTGTAAAAAAATTATTTAATCAGTACTTACCGATACCAAGGTATCGAAAAGATTTTGTAACAAACTCAAATCTTTATTGATTAAAGAAGGTATTCTTTGTCCTAATTGTCCAATAATTGTATATGCCATAGGTTTATGAATATCTTCGCCTTCAGAAATTAATTTTATCATACCATTTAATATTACCCCGGCTACACGAACCAATGGTGTAAGACTACATCTTGAAAAAGAAAGAAACATAATCTTATATGTATGCATATTTACATAAACAACTTAAATATAAAAATAAAATTTCTAAGTTAATGAAATAGACTTACTGCTGAACAATATTAGATGTAAATTGCAATGCTAATGATTTCAACTTTGAATTTGTATTTTTTCCATACAAAGAATCAAATACAACCTATAATTTAATATAAATATCACACTATTAATATTATACAAGATTTCAATTATATAAATAATTGTTAACTATTACTTATAATATACCTGAATGCATGAAGGAATAATAAAACCTGATTTAGTTAATCGACAAAGATAATGTAATACTTTTAGTCGAATACGAGTACTAGCAGGTAATCGTTTCATTTCAGGTTTAATTTCCTTTTGTGTTGCTAAACCATCAGTACCTAAGAATAATGTATAAAGTGGTGCAGCTATTTGCATTGAGGACCAATCTAAAGAACTGAAACATATATATACAAATACTGAAACAAACAGAAAATTAAATACAAGAACTACAATAAAATTCTGTACATACCTTACAATTTTTTTCAATTCTAAATCTGCCATATTAGCAACACTAAATCTAGTATCTGCAGCTGCAACAACCAAATGTATAAAAATATCTGAGTCAGGAAAAAATCCACTAGAAATAAATTTAACAATTCCCAATTTGGTTTGTTCCAGCTGTTCAGCAGTAGGAGGATGTTCACCTATAACTCTCTTGAATGCATATTCACTTAATCCAGGTGGAACAGGAAATTGAGGCCAATCAACAGTTTGATTCAATTGCTGATTTTCACTTTGTCCTACCGATCTAATATTATACCAATGTTGTTTATAATATAAAATGTATTATAATTAAATTAATAATAGTACAACAATCCTGCTTACCCATAAGGTAACAATAGTACATCGAGCATAAAGTTGATCAATTGTTTTGATACATAAGGTTTATCTTGTAAACCAAGTAAAGATGTTCGCTTATCAGGGTCAGCAGGAATATTAATATGTCCTAAGGCTGGCATTATTATTAGCATTAAACTAAAAGAATTATATATACATATATATAATGAAACAGTGTAATTTTCTTTTTATCTATCACATGCATTAGTAATTATATATTGACAAACCTATCTTGATGGGATAAAGGTTTTCCATCAATAGCATTTAATACACTGGGGATTAATTCTGCTTGCTTTTTCATTTCCATACGTGGATATCCCAATTTTATATATATAATTGTAAAATTCTGAAAATAATATTATACTCATTAGATATTATTTTGTCATTAAAGAACACATATAAATAAAAATAACATACAATTACAAATGAACTAGCAGCTGGATCCTGATACTGCAACAATAATGCTTCAACTGGTAACTGCACTTGAGGTCTAGTTTTTACCCTTCTATTGATATGAATTAACAACTCCATTACTTTTTTTCTAACGCCTTCCTGTGCACTGGACAATTTGAGCAATACCGGTGGTAGGAATTTACAAACAGATGCTTGTAACTGTTCATCTGTATCTGCTGATCCCAGCCGAAGGAAAACTCTTTCAAGCAAAACTTTAATCAAACAATATTAATTAATTACAGAAAATACTTGATTGATATATGTACATTTTATTAAACTTTATGAGAACACAATTAACATGATAATCCATTAGATAATTTCTATAGCACAAATGATTATATATATACATATTTTTCAAATAAATTGAAAATTCAGTTTTATCAACTTTAAAATAAAATAATTTTATATATAATGTGTAACAAATTAAATAATTACCATATATAAAAACAATAATACAAAAAGAAAATATTTCATTTAATCATAAAGTAATAACACTATACAATAACGTAAATTTTGTCGAATATTTAAATGTGAAAATTATAAATAAAATCATAAATAAACACTGTATTGTGACACTAAACTTGATCTGTTTGACAGTTGAGTAAGCACGTGCTGGAATGAAGATGTAGCAGCTGACAAGGGTAAGGAGAGGGAGAGATGTGAATTGAGAAACTATTGAACAGAACCTTCACGGAAAATGATAGGTTTGAAGTTGCCTTTTTACAGGGCGGCATGACAATTGACTTTCTTTTTTACGTTAAAAAATGCTTTAAAATACTAATTTTGCTTGTTATAGTTGTCCATTTAAATAACCCAATGTATGACTTCCGAAATGATAAGGAACACAATGAAATTAATTCCTTATATACCGAATAAACCTAATTTTTTTCAGGACTACTCACTCAGCTCGTCCGTAGCTGCTGCCATTTTGAAATAGTGTATGAGAGAAAGCGGATGACATCGAGAAACGAGAAATGTCGCTGAATTTTGCAATTAATCGTTTTATGTCGAATCACTATCTATGTACTTTGACTAAACATATGCAAATTGATGTACTTTGTTTCACAACGCAAAATACAATAACAAAATTTTGATCTTTTCGTTTATTTGTTTGATCAGTACAATGTACTTAATCTTATACGAATGCTTAAAAAATAAAATTATAAATGTAAGACGTCATCCTGAACAACACAATTATCTACAACTAATTATAGTCATCGTAATTATGGTTATTTTATTTTTTTATTTTTTTTTTATAAATTACAAACTTTTCTATTCAAAGAACGTTTATTATTTAATAACATTTAATATGGTTTTAAATTGAGGTTAACTATCGATTTAAGCCTTTATTTTTTATCTTACAAATTATTGCAGATAATTTTATTAAAAAAATAATTTAAAACAAAAAATAGCTCTTTCTTAGTACTTTAATTTCTTTTCCTTTCTTTTTTTTATATTTTTACAATAGTAAAATTAATCTAATTAAATAAAAATATTAATTTTTATATTTTTTAACTGTTTCAAAAGAAATAAAATAATATTATAATTTATAATATATTTATAAATATTATTACAATTATAAAATTGATAGAGGTATTACAAGATGACTTGGAATTCATAAGGTCTGGCATAGGATCTGAAACAACTGGATCCTTGTATACATTGGGGCAGTTAGTCTGAAAGGAAATTTAACATTTTATTAAAAATTCAAAACTTGTTAAAAATTATATTTAATACTAAATATATAAACCTAAATATATTCTTACCCAAATAACAGCAGTTATAACTTGTACAACGAGTTCTTTAAGAATTTTTGCAGCTTCGATACCACATAACACGGCAGTTAATGTATAGTAACAATCAGATATAGCTTTAAATTGGCTAGGAATAAATTATGATATTTACACATGAAATAAAATATTATATATAAACGCAAATTGTTTATATACATACTCGCACAAGTCATGAATTTCCATATTTTCCGTCCAATCTGTTGGTCCTACACAGTCCAAATATTCATCATGGAGTTCTTGATAACACTTCATATATTTTCTGAATACTATTTCATTCAAATTTATTTATTATTCTTCCATATTATGTATATTTAATATTTACACTTCTTAGAGGACTTACTAGATTGATAATTTTCATATACACAAAGTTTACTGTTTAGTACTCTTAATCCTGCTATAAGTTGCATATATAAGTGATCTTCTGGCAAGGGTATACATGCTTGCATTACACTATCAATTGAATCAAGACTTTCAACTATTTTCCTTTAAAATAGAAAAATAGATCATATATATCATTTTTTATTTACAAATATTTGTCATTTCATTAAGATCACATGACCTACAAACCTACAAAAATATTCAATGTCCTTGTATGAAGCAATTAATAATATACCTTCTGGATTAATAACTTGTAGTTTAGCCAGGTAAAATAATATCTGGTCCTCATCGCACTTAACTTTTTTATCTAATGCTAATGTGCAATAAAAATATTTTAGGTTATTAAACAATAAAATCTTACTAATAAATTAAAAACTATTTACTTTTATGTATAACAATTTTTGCATGAGAAGAATAACTAGTTTCTTCATATTCAATAGTACTGCCTAATTGTGAATAATCAAATTCAGGATCCATGTTATAATCCTCATATATTTCAGTTTGAGCATAGTATTCTGCAATGAAAATTATAAAAATAAAATAAACAGCAAATAATATGTGCCAATGTACAATTTCCATGTAATATTTTTCGTTTAATTGTCCTCATTCAAATTCTCGTTGACAAAAGATTAAATTAAAAATTACCGCCACATTATGATATTTCTTTGAAGTTGTCAAGCTTATATTTTAATATTTATTTAAATATCGATGTATATACTCTTAACATATGCGCACACATATAACACACACTTTTTATCTTTTTATAAAATTTATATCATAATTACAATTATACATTAAAAATATATTGATTCTTGCATTTTTATACATACATGAATGCATGATAAATGTTTTATATGTTTTCATGGTTATATAAGTATTTTTTGTAAAAATTATGTTTCATTATATGTATGTTTGGAATGTGAAATGCCAATAATACAAATTTCAAATTTAGTCACGTGAAGTTGCCGCAACATACAACCAATGAAAAAAGCCGAATTTTTCGTATAAAGTCCTTCTATCGTCTGCTAGGTCCGTATTTTTAAGATGAACCACGTTTCTATTTCGTGACCTTCAAGATCTGTATATCAAAATAAAGGTCAAATTAAATCTTTTTTATTTCGACGTAAATTATTAATGATCAGGTGAATTATGTGTATTATCGTTAATTATAAGTTATTTGAGTAATATTATTTCGCTTGTTTATTTATGATTTTTAAATATTTTTAAATGATGTTGAATGTCATGACCGACCTTGTGCTTATTTAGTTGTTTGTTTCGTTTGAATTGGCTTTTAGTGATATTCTTAGCTGACATGAAAATGGTATCATTTAAATGAAATTATCTTGTTAAGTCATAAAAATACTAATCCGAATGTATATGTGCGTATATAGACATACATTTTAAAATAGTATATGTGCTATTAAGTATAGAACTTTAATCACTTGTTGCTTTTACTTTCTGTTAAATTCTTGGGCAACATAAGTGATTATATTAATTGGATTGAAATTAATAAGAAAAAATAATATTTTTTATACTTTTATTAATAATTTTTGTGTTTTTAAAATAAAATAACTAAATTATAAATGGATTTTCTTATGTCAGGTATAGTAAAAAATTATATTTATTTTTATTTAGATTATTTTATGGTATTATAGACAAAAGCAGAAACATATATTATATTAAAAACTAAATATTACATATTCAAGTATTTATTTTATATATATCTTCTATATATATATTTTTAAAATTTTATAATCTAATTATGTTTAAGCATTATTATATAAATTATAAAACATTAACAATGTTTATCAGTATTATATTCATTAATTTACTACTACATAGTTGTTATGTTTGTTATCTTTATTTTTATAAGAAATAAACATGTAAAATATATTTTTATAAGAAGTAAAATGTTTACTATTTATCATTTTTATTGTATATTCTTTCTGATGTTGCAAATTTGCATATTTTCTTTGAATTACAGATATTATGTATGTAAATATATATTATGGATGATTACTACAACATATCTGTTATAGGTAATACAATGTGAAAATCCTCTACTATTCTAAAGCATAGTAAAAACAACATTGCAGCTGATTAATAAAGACTCATTTATGTACAGATCTTATGTAAAGCTATAGTTATAACTTAAATAATCTATTTATTTTTAACAATGGATTCAATGCTTGCAATAAAGCATTTTTTTGGAAATGCAGTACAAATGCTTATGAGGAAATTTAAGAGCTTTTTACAACATCTATGTAAATGCCGCTATTTGAGGTTTCTCTTGTCTTGTGTAAGTTTTGACATACATGATATAGTGTGTGGATGTAAAAATATCATCAATATTTATCAAATTCTGTTATATCTGATATAGAATTATTGTTATGTTTTTAATAACAACAATCTTTTTAAGCGCGATTATTACTTTAAAAATTAATAAATCTTATGGCAGGAAGTATTTCTCTTATCCATCCACTAGATCATAGAGTTGTAATCCAAGTATGTAGAGTAAGAATAGCTTCAAGCTTTATGTATGTTCATGCAGCAGAACTGTGTAATGTAATGCCATGCGTTTTGCACGCTCTGTAGCTTCTTTGTGCCAATAACTTATATTAAGGCTCATGTCAGTCAAATGCTTGTCTATTTACTACGTTTTACTTGTAAGTACTAATCCTCTAGGTAAACATTTTCTTCATAAATACATTTTGTGGAAACACTGAATTTATAATATATATATAAAGTATTTTTGATTGTGTTTCTTAACTTATTTTGTATTATACTTCTAATAATAAACATAAAAACATACTTCTAATAATAAAACATTCGTTGGAAGTAAATTTGTGTAGCAATAAATATTTGTGCTGTGTTATAATATAAAATAGTGTAATATTGTGTGGAAATGGGCAATTGCTATTAGTGAAGCTTTATTACACCAAATAATCTTTTATTTGTTTTACAAATAATTGTAATTATTTTTAAGATTTAATACTATTTTTAGGCAATAGATAAAGATATGACTGAACGTGGTCCATCTGCAGAGAGCCAGGACTCTCAACAAGTAAGAGTCTTGACTCTAAATAAAGGAGAACATCTTGATGGAATTTTATATAGACTTAAAAAAGGTATATATTTAATATAATTAAAGAATAATCTTATTATTTTTTATTTTTAAATTGAAACTAATTAATTTTTATTTAGGATGGAAAGTGGAATTCAAGCTTGGAGCTTCTCTTCTTGGAAAGACACTTGATGTTTTTACTAATCATCCATTATCAAATGATCAGAAATTTGAAAGACACACATATTACCAGTTACCTTGGATAAATGATTCTGCTAATTTACTTCTAACTTTACCCGGTTCCTTTCATTATTATGTTATGGATTCTGGGTAAGATTTTAATATGCAGATGATTATTTCATAACTTTTATAAACTGTTAATAGTACTGAAAATAATAAATAAAACTGTCATAGTATAATAAATAAATTGTAAATAGTACTGAAATACTATATTAATAAAACTGTTTATAGTACTGAATCAAAAATAAAAGCCATTGCTTCTGGATATTTGATGGTGGATCCTGAATTAAAAGTTGGTGAACGTGGAGAATTATTACCACTAGATTGTATTCAATGTCAAACTGTACTGGCAAAAAGTTTAGGACCCTTTTCCACCTGGGAAAATAAATTACTAGTGGCTCGTAACTCTGGATATAATGTTATACATTTTACACCAATTCAGGTAATTGATATCTTTTATTAAATTTTATTCAATATATAACATCTATAAAAATATGTATATTATAGGAATTAGGATTGTCTAAATCATCCTACAGTTTAAGTGATCAATTAAAATTGAATCCTCTCTTCAATGATGGAGACACAGTAATTACTTTTGACGATATTGATGAATTTATAAATAAAATTCGTAATGAATGGAAAGTAAGTTATATTTATAATCCAAAAGAGTTCCTAACACATAACTATATTTCTATATATCACTTTGATTAATTATAATTTTGTGTTATAGATGTTAAGTATATGTGATGTTGTTTTAAATCATACAGCAAATGAAAGTCCCTTCTTAGTCTCTCATCCAGAATGTACATACAACTGTCTTAACAGTCCTCACTTACGTCCTGCATACATTTTAGACGCTGCTTTATTTGAATTAACAATTCAGGTTGCTTCTGGAGAGTGGGAATTTAAAGGTATTCCTACAGTAGTTGAAACTGAGGATCATTTAAACGTAAGTATTGTATCTTTGTTAATATTTGAGTATTAATTAATTATAAATTCTTTTCTAAAGATACAATATCTTTAAAGAAAATTGATTAAATATAGGATTTAAATGTACAACTGCATTAATTTCTTTATTTTTCAGTCTATTCGTCATGCTCTGCATTCATATTTTTTACCACTTGTAAAAATTCATGAATTGTATATATTGGATATTAATGAAACAATAGCAGAATTTTTAAATTTAGCACGAACTCAAATCCCTCAAGATGTTAATGAATTACCAACAGAAGACATATCAGTAATAAAAGATCCTAAATTTCGTAGATTAAAAGCAACTATAGACATGCCACTTGCTCTTAAAAAATATAATACATATAGGTAGTAATTATATTTTTTAATATACCTTAATTAATATTTAAAATAATATTATTTAATTCAAGAAACAAATTTGTTTCATAGAGCTGATAGTTTTGATGAGGAAACTCGTCTGAAACGTTGTGCAGAAGATCTTAGAAAAAAATTACAAGAACTTAATGATGTAATTATAAATGAAATTCAAAATCATTTGAATGCAGCTGTTGAAAATACAGTTGCAGGTATACGATATTTTAGAGTGCAGGCAGATGGACCCAGGCTTAAGGAAATTAGTGAAAGAAACCCGCTTGTACCTCGGTAATTTCAGAGTAAAAAACATAATAAAGTAAATATAAATGAAATAAAACAATGTTGTTATAATGAATTCTATTTTGTAGATATTTTACTGATTATGGAACTCCCAAATCATTAGTTGAAAGAGAAGCAACAATGTTTTCAGAGGCTGGTTGTTATCTGATGGTTCATAATGGATGGGTTATGAATGGTGATCCTTTAAAGAATTTTGCTGATCCTGATTCAAATATCTATATTCGAAGAGAACTTATTGCATGGGGTGATAGCGTAAAGCTTAGGTAATGAAGTACATTGTATTATTAATTGTTTCATTTTTGAATGTTTTTAAATATTAATTATTATCGCAGATATGGTGAAAAACCAGAGGATTCTCCTTTCTTGTGGGATCATATGACAAAATATGTAGAACAAACTGCCAAAATTTTTGATGGTATACGTCTTGATAACTGTCATTCTACACCTATTCCTATTGCTGAGGTATATCAATATTTTCATTTCTTTTTATTTTTTTTATTTTTTAATAAAAAGTTAATTCGAGTTTAATGATTATAAAATATTAAATTTTTGTCTAGCACATGTTAGACGCTGCTCGTCAGATTCGTCCTGATTTGTATGTAGTTGCAGAACTATTTACGAATTCTGATCAAAAAGATAACATTTTTGTTAATCGTCTTGGCATTACATCTTTGATCAGAGGTATGATAATATTAAATTAGAAAAAATATTTCAAATATTTCAAATATTTTTTATGTTTTTTATAAATTAAATCAAACTCATACATATAATATAGAGGCAATGTCTGCATGGGACAGTCATGAGGAAGGACGATTAGTTTATCGATATGGAGGAGAACCCGTTGGAGCTTTTTTGCCATCACGTAAACGGCCGTTAGTACCATCTATAGCTCATGCTCTCTTCTTGGATCAAACTCATGATAATCCTAGTCCAATCGAAAAACGAAGTGTTTTTGATTTACTTCCAAGTACTGGACTTGTATCAATGGCATGTTGTGCTAGTGGAAGCAATCGAGGATATGATGAATTAGTACCGCATCATGTAAGTCTTCTAAATTTGCTAGGAAGTGCAATAAACAATAACAGAAACAAAATTTATATATTATTGAATGAATTAAAAAATTATAGATTCATGTTGTTGATGAAACAAGACAATATGCATCATGGACAGATGATGATAATTTGGCAGATGGTATAAAATTTGTAAATCATCAAAACGGTATAATTATAGCTAAAAGGGCTTTGAACGAACTACATTATACTCTTGGCAAAGAGAAATTTTCCCAAGTGAGTATATTTACATAATATCTCATAAAATCATATTAAAATTACTATTCATTATCTTACTAACTTATTTTACGTTTTTATAGGTATTTGTTGATCAAATGGATACTGATGTAGTTGCAGTAACAAGGCATTC